AAAGTGGCAAAATTTGCCAGGTTGCCACTTGACATGCCTCGTTTTTACAGACTTGTAATTTAGCTCATTTTGAATAAAATTTAGTGTGTTTTTAAAATTTTAAATTTGCCACGTAAACTGAACTTTCAAACGCGCATTTATTCTTTTAATTATATTGAAAAATCGTACAAACAATAAAAACAAAATTTCAAACAAACATTAAAAAAAAAAAAACGAAGTTTTATTTTTAAAAAAAAACACATTTTATGCAAATTTTTTGCTCTACAACATATCAAAATTTGAAGATGGCGATTTTCTGGCATACAGAGCTATGAGCCGGAATAGGATGTAGAACTGGAAAAAACTCACTATTTTTACAGTAATCCCATGTATTTTACAATAGCAAAACCAACCGGAGCCGCTTCTATAAGCCGCAGCGAGCAGCCACAAATATCCCATATGCTTTAAACTTTGACACTTTGCTACAAAAGTTGTACTTTACTTCTATAGTATTGACTGTTTATTATTCAACAGAGTTGTAAGATGTAGCCTTCACTTTAGCGTTCTTTAATTCCTGAATTTAGAATTGTCTCCATCTTGTACTTGTTAAAGTTTTGATTGCATAAGCAAACGAAAACCCGACTCGTTGTTTTCCTTTAAATTTACGTGCTGTAGTTTCCCAGAAACGCAAAAAAGTTTTAGAAAAAATCTTAATTTAACAGATATTAAGGTAAAGCAGTAAATTTTTAGACTTTTTTTCGACTCCAAAATGCATGTTAGCTACATAGTTTTGACAAACAAAAATACGAGAAATAGAAAACGCTAGAGTGAAGGCTACAATTTTACAGCTTTGTTGACTAATAAACAATTCATATTATAGAAATAAACTACAACTTTTGTAGCAAATTTTCATAGGTTTAAAGCATATGGGATATTTGTGGCTGCCCGCTGCGGCCTTCAAAAGTGGCTTTGAATGGTTTCACCATTGTAAAATACATGATATTACTGTAAAAATAATGAGTTCATTTCAGTTTTACATTCTATTCCGGCTCAAAACTTTAGATACCAAAAAATCCCCTGTCTCTAAATTTTGATATGTTGTGAAGCAAAAAAATTTTGCACAAAATATGTTTTTTG